ACGCCGTGGGCTCCTGCCCGGCCGAGCCTCCCGGAAGAGCGCTGTACCTGCTCTGTGGCGCCCCGTCCCATCAACCGCTCAAGGGCTGAGGAGTGGGAGTGCACGGCACAGGACTGGCAGGCAGCTCCGCCCGTGGCCCTGGTGCGGGATCCACTACGTGAAGCCAGCTGCGCTCCTGGGTCTACTGGGGACTTGGAGAACCTTTATGTCTAGCTAAAGGGATTGTAAATACACCAATCAGCACTCTGTCTAGCTCAAGGTTTGTAAATGCACCAATCAGTGCTCTGTATCTAGCTAATCTAGTGGGGACTTGGAGAACTTTTCTGTCTAGCACTGTCTAAAGGATTGTAAACACACCAGTCACCACTCTGTGTCTAGCTCAAGGATTGTAAACACACCAATCAGCACCCTGTGTCTAGCTCAAGGTTTGTAAATACACCAGTCCTCTGCAGCTAATCTAGTGGGGACTTGGAGAACCCTTATGTCCAGCTAAAGGATTGTAAATACACCAATCAGCACTCTGTCTAGCTCAAGGTTTGTAAACACACCAATCAGCACTCTGTGTCTAGCTCAAGGTTTGTAAACACACCAATCAGCATCCTGTGTCTAGCTCAAGGTTTGTAAACACACCAATCAGTGCTCTGTGTCTACTTAATCTGGTGAGGACTTGGAGAACTTTTAAGTCTAGCTAGAGGATTGTAAATGCACCAATCAGCACTCTGAGTCTAGCTCACGGATTGTAAACACACCAATCAGCTCTCTGTAAAACGTACCAATCAGCACTCTGTAAAATGGACCAATCAGCAGGATGTGGGTGGGGCCAGATAAGGGAATAAAAGCAGACTGTCCCAGCCTGCAGCAGCAACTTGCTTGGGTCCTGGTCCACAGCATGGAAGGCTCATTCTTTTGTTTTTTGCAATAAATCTTGCTATCGTTTACTCCTTGGGTTCATGCCGCTTTTATGAGCTGTAACGCTCACCGTGAAGGTCTGCAGTTTCATTCCTGAGGGCAGCAAGACCACGAACCCACTGGGAGGAATGAACAACTCGGGATGTTCCACCTTAAGAGCTGTAACGCTCACCCCGAAGGTCTATAGCTTCACTCCTGAAGTCAGTGAGACCACGAACCCACCAGAAGGAAGAAACTCCAAACATGTGCGAACATGAGAAGGAACAAACTCCAGACACCATCTTTAAGAACTGTAACACTTGCTGCAAGGGTGTGCGACTTCATTCTTGAAGTCAGGGAGCCCAAGAACCTACCAGTTCTGGACACAGTGGGATTACAGGTGTGACCCACCATGCCCAGCTGCTACCACTTTTCAAAGGAGCGACAGAGCCAGTTTTCTTTTGTTTGTGTTTGGGTTTTTTTTGAGATGCAGTCTTGCTCTTGTTGCACAGGCTGGAGTGCAGTGGTGTGATCTCAGCTTACTGCACCTCTGCCTCTTGAGTTTAAGTGATTCTCCTGCCTCAGCCTCCCAAGTAGCTAGGACATAGGTGTGTACCAGCACACCCTGCTAATGTTTGTATTTTCGGTAGAGATGGGGTTTCATCATGTTGATCAGCCTGGTCTTGAACTCCTGACTTCAGGTGACCCACCCGCCTCGTCCTCCCAGTGCTGGGATTACAGGTGTGAGCCACCAAGCCCGGTTCATTTTTTTTTTTTTTTTGGCAATATCTCACACAGACCAAAACTTTTGTAGAATACAATAAAAGTTAATCGTTAGCAAGATGGACAGGCACCTGGATGTTGTGGCAACGTCAAACTATAAAGTTTCTAAATGTATCGTTCAACCTCTGGACTCATTACAGGTAAGTCACAAACAGTCCACAGATCACCACTAGTCACTCCTCTCTGGTATGAAGTCACTTGCCTGCTCATCTCACACTAGGGCAATCATCAACTCTCATTAGGAGGCCTAGGGAGGGGGTACACACAGGTTGCTCTAGACTTGAAGCTGAGTGGAAGTGGAGTCAGGATTTGAACCCATCTATCTGACTGCCATGGAAAAGCAGTTAATTTCCTCGAATGCAAGGCACCCCAGATCAAGGCGATACGGAACTTATGGGCCTTTGCAAGGAATGCCAGTAGAAGAAACAAACCCCCAACACAACGTTATCGAATGGGAAGAATCTTCTAAGTTCTCAAAACTAAGGACTGTCCAACCTATGATATCACTCTCCCCACGGGAAAGAACCCAGCAAAACAAATGCAGATACATACACAATAATATTCTAACCACACATTTGTCATAAAGGTCTTTCGCCCTTTTTCTTTTTCTTTTTTTTTTTCCTGAGACACAGTCTTGCTCTGTTGCCCAGGCAGGAGTGTGGTGGCGAGACCTTGGCTAACTGCAACTTCTGCCTCTCGGGTTTGAGCGATTCTCCTGCCTCAGCCTCCTGAGTAGCTGGGATTACAGGGAGGCGCTACAATGCCCAGCTAAGTATTTTTAGTGGGGGGGGTTCACCATGTTGGTCAAGCTGGTCTCGAACTCCTGACCTCATGATCCTGCCTCAGCCTCCCAAAGTGCTGGGATTACAGGCGGGAGCCACCATGCCCGGCCGCCTTTTGGTTTTTATGTTTGGCTCATAAGCGTGGTTAGTTGGTGTCAGAGGTTAAGGAGGCTGCCAGGTAAGAAGCTCCCTGGGTGGATATAGAACCGGTTTTAAAAGCCTGGCTCAGCTGGGCACGGTGCCTCAAGCCTGTAATCCCAGTGCTTTCAGATGCCGAGGCGGCAGATTGCTGGAGTCCAGGAGTTCAAGACCAGCCTGGGCAACGTAGCGAGACCTCCTCTCTACAAAAAATACAAAAATTGGCCGGACGTGGCCAATAATCCCACCACCTCCGGAGGCTGAGGTGGGAGGATCGCTTGAGCACGGGAGGCGGAGGCTGCAGTAGCTGAGATGCTGCCAATGCACTGCAGCCTGGACGACAGAGCCACACCCTGTCTCAAACAATAATTAATTAATTAAATGAATGAATGAATGCCTGGCTCAGTTGACACTTTTCTTCTTCCGCCCCAACACTGAAGGGACCCGGACAGTTCTGAGCCCTGCCTGAATGCTGCTGCCCCATCTCTCTGACCGCTGGAACTGTCTGGATTTCACACCCAGTGTCAAATATGCCCTAGGCCAAAGTCGGAATTGTGTCTGGGTCACCTGTCCAAGACCTGGGCCCTGCTCCACCGCTGCTTCTACAAAGGGACTGAGTCTAGCTTCCAGCCAGGCCTTCGGGAGGCACTCCAGGTGGGGACTAAGCGCGGTCTGGCCAGGCTGCAGAACCCGTGGCCAGCAGAGGCAGCCTCTGCCCAAGCCCCGGATTCAATGTGCTGCTGCTGTTCATTCCGAGAAATTCGGAGACTCTGGCTACGCTGGCTTTCCCGGCGCGCCGCCGGTGGCGGAGGTGGCACAGCCGAGGGTGCTGGCTTCACGGAGGGGCAGCGAGTGTCCCCTCCCGGAGAGGGGTGTCCCGGCGGCCAGGACGCC